CCTCTAGGTCAAAAGATGTAGACTTTCAGAGGATCTGTTGCGAGTTAAAAAAGAATTTTTTACCTTCGAAAGAACAAAACTTTATTTTTATTTTAGAACACTTTTGAGTCTGTTAACAAACTAAATAAACTTAAGTATTTAAAATACTTGTTGCAAACTGAGTAGGGTCCTTTAGTGGACAATTATAGAAACGTGCAAATACTTCTGAGGACGGTGTCCATCCAGCGGCCTTTCTGATCTCCTCTACATTGACTCCACTCCTTAACGCTGCGGATGTAGAGGCATGACGGGTACTATGCGATGTGAATACTTGTGTATCAATACCCGCTTCCTCCAACGTCTCTTTTATCCATCTGCTGATGGTCTGGCTGCACGCTGCTCTATGAGGCTTCTTGAAACTTATAAACATCCTTTTTTCCCCTCTTGGCCTGATAGTCTCCGTCAGTTTTAAATAATCTTTCAATGTTTGACCTACACAAAGTAAGGCATCTTTCTCGAAAAAGGGAATGTTTAACAATGGTTGCATTTTATTTATCCCCGATGTCTTAATTCTTTCCGGTACTGTGATTTGAATATATTTCTCTGTTTCAATTATATTATTTATATCGATTTTGCTTAAAGTTTGCACCCTTTGTGCAGTGACTAGAGCTAATAAGGTCACTAACTTTTTTGTTAATTGTTTTTGGTCTAGCTTATCGTTTGAGCCTAGCGAAGAAATAAATTTCAGTACCGGAGACGGATCCCAAATGTAGTCGTATCTGGGTTTCTGCGGTTTTAAATTTGAAACTCCTCTAAAAAATCGTTTTATCTCTAGATTATTCGTGATATCTGCCTTCACAATCAACGAAATTGCCGCTCTATAGTTGTTTAAGGTTCCATAGGAAGCATCTTCTTGAAAATTGCTTGTTAAAAACTCGATTATCTTTGATTCCGTCGCATCGAAAATATGAAGCTGGTGATCTCTGCAAAATTCCCACCAATTCCTTATCGGCTTTTCGTACTGTTTAAGCGTTGCGTCAGCTAGAGAAGCCAAAGTTATTTCTTGGGCATCCTTCGGGATTCCTTTTGCAGCAAACGCCCTCCGTATAACCTCCCTACCACCAGGGAAAGGTTCATGGGATATTCCTTCCTGAAGGGAGAAATTAATAAATTGTTAATATTGTTAAAATAAATTGGTTCTGAAATCGTTAAACGATAAAATAGGGGAAACCATGGTTGGGTTGGCCAATTCGGAACAATCAGAACACCTTCAGCTTTATCTTCTATAATTTTTCGTAATGCTTTCGGAATGAGCGCGAAGGGCGGAAAAGCATAAAAATACCAATCTTCCCAGCAATAAGTGAATGCATCAACACCTATTGCTTCTGGATCTGGGTACCACGAGATAAATTTTTTACATTTAAAGTTAATATTTGATGCGAATAAATCTATATCAAATTTTCCAAAAACTTGAATAATTTCTCGAAAAACTTTATCATTTAATTCCCATTCGGTGTCCTCAGAAATTTTTCTCGATTCACAATCAGCTTCTTTATTCTCGCTAGACGGAATATATGAAGCCTTGATCCATATATTTCGTCTTTCACACCACTGCCATATTTCTCTACATAATTTACTCAATTTAGGATATTTTACACTACCCATTTTATTCACATAAGCAATGGCTGTGGTGTTATCGATTCTTAATAATATTTCCACCGAATTTAAGTTTTTCGCAAAACATTTTAGACCATAAAAAGAAGCTTTTAATTCTAATAAATTTATGTGTTCATTTTTCTCATTATTATCCCACCAACCATGAGATTTTTTGCCGTTGCATGAAATTCCCCATCCTGATAACGAGGCATCTGAGAAAATTTCTAGTGCAAATCTATTTTTTCTAATAGGGTTTGTTGCAATTTTAACTTGTCTAATCCACCATTCTACATCTTGCATTGCCTCTTCCGATAGTACCATACATTTATCAAAATTACCCTTCGAATTTTCCAAGGCTAAGTATTTATTCCTTTCTAATATTTTTGTATATAAAACTCCGTATTTTATTGCAGGGCAAGCTGAAATTAACAAACCTAAACATTTTGCTACATTTCTAATTTTTGGTTTACTATTTGCCTTTAATTCTACTAATTCTTTAATAATTTTTTTTCCTTTTCTTTTGTGTTAATTCAACCTGTTGTTCTTCTGAATTAAAATTAAAACCCAAAAACTTGCATCTTTTTGATGGTTTTAATGAGCACTTTTCTAAATTTAATATAAAACCAAGAGATTCTAAAAACTTTCTAGTTTTTTGTATGTCATCAATACATTCATCATAAGAATTGCTAATTATCAATATATCGTCTAAATAAATGACCAAAACTATACCTTCTTCTCTTAAATAATGCACGACAGGTTTAGTTAACTTTGTAAAAAGGTATGGTGCTACGCACAAGCCAAATGGTATGCATGTAAACTCGTACAATTTTTCATCAAATTCAAATCTTAAATATTTTCTAAAATCTCTATCTACCGGGACAAGAAAATAAGCATCTTTTAAGTCTATGCTAGCCATAAAACAATTTTTAAACATTAATGACTCTACTATTTTTCTATCCTCCAACTTAAAATGTGGCGGATCAATGAAAACATTTAACTTCTTTAAATTGAGAATAAACCTTTTTTCATTATTTGGTTTCGGAACTAAAAAATAGGACGACAAAAATTGATTTTTACAGGGTTTACACAACACTACTGCCTTTTTCTCCAGTAAAATATTTACTGCATGAGAAATATCCTGAAATTCTTCAGTTGAAAACTTTGGCAAGATTGGTGGATTAACTTGCTCGACCTCTTTGAAAAAAGGAATTTTATATCCTTGCACTGTTTGCAGGATAAATTTGTCAGAGGTGATGCACTTCCAATCATTATAAAAAAGTTTTAAACGACCTGGTGTACTTACGCTTAACGTCGCATCGGCCGGTTGTTGTATTGGCGATAATTCGATTTGCCCCTGTCCATGCCCCCCCCCCGTTGATTCCTGTTGAACGGAGTCCTCCTGGAGGGGCCCTGGTAGTTTAAATGACCGGTGACAGTTTTTGGACGGCTTGTTGTTGATGACTGCGATGGATACTTCTTGGTTGACCTTTCAACCGACTGAAAAGCCTTTACTTTCTCGGAGAAATCTTTACCAAATAAAAATTCGTCGATTTTACTTTCATTCGCTATTGCTTTTTCAGCAGAATTAAAACCTGACATAATAAAATATTTTCTCGACGTCGACATTGTATGGTAAAGATCTGTGAGAATACGAGCAGCATCACTGAACAGAGCAATTTGTCCTTGGTCTTCTTTTTCATCTTTCAGGTTAACCATTTCTGTCAACACTGTACCTAACACCGAAATACCCTTGCCAAGTTGATTCTGAGCTAACATTTGATACGCATCTCTTTTAATTGAAATAGTGCTCATCGTAGATTGGACATGTGGTCCTAGTTTAGGAGCCTGAAGCATAGAGCAATTTTCTGCTGGTGAATATTTTTTCAAAATTTCCTCTTTTTTGTCTTTAGGTAATCCGTTCTGCAAAATGTCTGTCCATCGGTCCGCTATTGCTCGATGGATCTGAGGTCCTACACAAGTATTTTTGGCAGGGTCTTCTCCTAATAATGCGAGAATCGAATCTTTCAATTCATTATTGGTTCCTTTATCACTTTTAGAGACCTGACTAGAGCGCGGCATTTCTCTAGGACGATACTCAACGCTCTCTCTGTCCTTCTCTGAAAAGCTTTTATTTTCAAGATGGCTGCCTTCTCTGCTTCTCGAGCGACTTTGAGAATTCTGAGAATTCTGACTACAACGTGGCGAACTTCTACGAGCTAGCTCACCGTTGTCTCTATCAGAGGTTACACTCGATCTTGAGAAATAACGATGATCCTTTCGACGCCTTTTCCTATCTTCTTCTCCATAAGATGAATCACGAGAACGTGATCGACGCCTCTTTTTCAATTTTCTTTTTAACTTATCTATCTCTTTCCACAACACTTTATTTTCACGCTTTGATTTTTTCTTTTTTCTCCGTTTATCAACACTCGAATAACTCGAGTTACTTTCGTCGGATGAATTCATTTTCACTTGATTTTCTTTGATTCTTTACAATTCACAATGTGGCGTGGACCGCACAGAAAAACGTAATGAGGTAAAACGGAACAGGAAGTAAGCAGGAGTCGACACGCCACCTGAATTGTAAGTAAGGAACAAAAAACCGCGAAACTTTAAAAATCTGTGGAATGGACCGAGCAACTAACGTTACTACATCTTTTGACCTAGAGGACGAGAAGACGAAATATAATTGATTTTTTGGGAAGAATTTTATTAAAATTTTTGAAAATATCCGAATTGTTTAAAAGAATTATATTAAAATCCCTTAAAATAATTTAATTGTTTTGAAGAATTTTATTCTTTGTAAAGTTAATTGAATTATTGCCAAGAATGTTATTAATATTTTTGAAAATAATTAAATTTCTGTTTTAAAATTATTTAAAATAATTTAAAAATTAAATTTAATTAAATAATTAAAGTTTTATTATCTATTTATAAAAATAATTGAATTTTCGCGAAGAATTTTATTACATTTTTTGAAAATAATTGAATTCTTGACAAGAATTTAATAAAAGAATTTTGTAATAATTGAATTTAAGCAAAAAATTTTTTTTTGAAAGATAATTGAATTTTCAGTAAGAATGTTTTTGAAATTTTTAAAAATTATTGAATTTCTTTGAAATCAAACACTTTAAAAAAAATTTTCGCAAGAATTGAATTATTTCTATTTTTTTATATAATTCTTTAAAAGAATTGAATTATTTTCAATAATTGTGATAAAGTTCTTTATAAGAATTCAATTATTTTTAATACCGTTTTTATAAAAATTCTATGCTCAATTTGCGTTTGTAAAGAAAAAATAATTTAACATTTGACTTTCGCCTCTAATCAGTATAATTATTAGCAATTGAAATTTTTGTTATTAGGACTTGAGTCCCTATATAACCACTCCAACAACTCCGGCTGATACTCCCGACTCGGAGTTACACTCGGAAGCGCCTGTGTTCAATTTTGACTGGACTGGAGAGCAGCATGTGCCAAATCTGAAGATCTTCCGCAACACTAACCACGAAACGAGAAAAACTCATGACGTTCAGCCGATAACTCTTCAGCTTCCAAAAAAGAAGAATCATTCTGAACAGTCCAGAGATTTTTCCAAGTGAATAGAAAAAGGCTTTAGATTATTCTGCATTCTAGGAATTGAAAACCCTTTTTATTCAAAAAAAAAATTGTCATTATTTTCAATCTCGGTCGAAAAGCTTTTCGAGAATTTTTTTCCGCACGTTTAAAACGGTTTATTTTTCTAAAAAGGGATTTTTTTCAATTTTTTTTCAATTTCCTAAATGCGCAACTTTGAGCCTAATTCACGATTCTCTTTTAAAAAAATTTGACGGAATTTATCCAAGTAAGAGTACTTTAATATATTTATTTTCTTATTCAATTTTTTAAACTGAAAAAAATTAATTAATTCCACATGTTAATTTTTTTTAAGTTTAAAATATTGAATATTTTTTTTAATTTTTGTGCCTTGAATGAAAAATAGATTAATTTTAATTTTAAATACTTTTTTTTGGGGGGTATTTGTAATTTTTATTTTCAATTAAAACAAAATAAGAGTTGAAAAATTAGTTCAATTAAGAAACTCTTTAATTTTGGTTTGTAGTTAGAGAAAAATACTTTTACCATCATTGCTGAATTAGTTTTCACTTTGACACAAAAAAAAACGTTGAAGAATCTTGAAGCTTTTTATTTTTAAAATTTCAACAATTGAAAAATTATTTATTATCAATATTTTTTCAAATTTTATGCAAAAATAATTTAGAAATGAAATAAAAAGAATATTTAAAAATCTTTTTTTAAATATGAACGAAAATATACAAATTTACATTGTTTTTAAATATTTAGAGAAAAAAAATGAAAGAAATAATAGTCTTTAAAGTTTTGTTTTTAAATTTTAATTCTTTGAGATTCATTAACGAATTTTGTATTCCAAATCGCGAGTGACAATTTTTTCCGATAATTTTTTAGTTTATAGGTAGTGAAGACAATAAAAGTAGTTAAACAGATGTTAAATTACTGTAAATATACGAAACGAAATCAATTCAACAAATTGAAAAAGTATTTCTATAATTTTAAAGTCTTTAAAATAAAATTTAAAAATTCTATCGAGTAATAATCGTAAAAAATATATTTCTCAAAAGTTTAAGAGTGTGAAGAAATATATTGCAATTGCAAATTATAAATATAAATAAATAAATTATAATTATATTAAATTATAGTAAAAGACAATTTTTTTATAAGAAATATAATGTAGACGATAATGAATTTAAAAAATACGCCTTACAATTTGCTGTTAAGATTTACGACGTATATAAAATAAAAGTAGAAAAAAATGCAGCGAATAAAGAAAAAGAAATGTTCTTTTTTCTTTTCTGTATTAAACATTTAAAGAAGTCAATCAGTATTCTATTTTTAATACCGTTATTAAATTATAAAGTCAAATTATATAAAATGATATAGTTGATATCATTTTCATTTTAAATAAAAAGAAAAATTATTCTGCTTTTATCAATATTTGGAAATTTTAATTTTATTCCAAGAAATCAATAAGAGAAATTATTTAGTCCTTCACCTCGAAAAGTAAAATAAAATAAAAACGTGAATTATTATTTACATAAATTCTATATTATTCATTATTAATGATAAATTATTATTTATTATCATATAAATAATAAAATATAAATTTATAATATTTCACAAAAATTGAAATATTTATTTAAGAAGAGAAAATGCACCTTTCGAAAATAAAATTAAATATTTTATGCACGGCTCTCTCGGTATCGTATGAAAATTTAATTCAGTAAGATTGTATTTTTAGATATAAAAAGAATGACATATGAGAAAAACTACTTTATAGAGAAAAACAGTCATTGTGATGACAGGCAGAGTAAACTCTTGATGGATAGCATCTCTTGAGAGAGAAAGAGAAAAAATTGGCTTTTTTTTCTTATTTTTAACATCACATCGTCTAGGCAACCATTGCTTCCGAATAGCGATCGATTTAATTTTATTTTCGTAACTAAATTAAAAGACAAAAATATTAAATAGTAAAACATATAATTAACAGAATTTTCCTAAGACAAAATTTTTTGAATTAAATTATAAAAATTTGGTAACAAAATAATTTTTTCAGTATATTATAATAATCCAAATTTTTCGTTTTCATTTTGAAATTGTATTACAAAAAATCAATTCAATTAAAATTATAATTCAATTCTTGTAATAGAAAATTTTGTTCTTCTAAGAAATTAAAATTGTACTAAAGAATCTGAATTTAGAAACTTAGTAACAAAATTTTTGGTTTTTTTTAAATTGTATTACAAAAAGACATGATTTTCAAGGAAAATTTTAATTAAATTTTTGAAACCAAAAATTTTGTTTCCATGATTTTAAAATTCTACTATAAAAATTTAATTTTTCATTTAGTAATTTACAAACAAAATTTCTGGTTTCTAGTTTGAAATTTTAATCTTTTTCCAGTGAAAGTTGTAATTTAATTTTTCAAATAGAAAATTTTGTTCCTTTAAAAAATTAAAATTGTACTAAATATCTGAATTTTTCATTTAGAAATTTAGAAACAAAATTTTTGGTTTTCTTTTGAAATTGTATTACAAAAAGTCATTTTTAGGAAAAATTGTAATTAAATTTTTAAAATCAAAATTTTTGTTCAACGACTTTAAAATTCTACTAGTATAAAAATTAGATTTTTCATTTAAAAAATTAAGAAATAAAATTTTTGGTTTTCTTTTGAAATTGTATTACAAAAAGTCTTGTATTACAAAAAGTCTTTGATTTTCAGGGAAAATTGTAATTCAATTTTTGAAAGCGGAAATTTTGTCAATTTTCAATAACTTTAAAATTTTGTTTAAAAAATAAAAATTTTTTATCTATAACATAAATTATTGGTTTCTGGTTTTAAACTTGTCATGTTTTTCAGTAAAAGTTGTAATTTAATTTTTCAAATAGAAAATTTTGTTGAATAAAATTAAAATTCTACTTTCGAAATAAAATTTTTCTTTTGTTTAGAAATTGAGAATTGAAAATTTTGATTTTTATTCTGAAATTTAACTGCAAAAAGTTACGTATTTCAGTGAAAATTGTAATTCGATTTATAAAATATAAAATTTTATTCTGAACTAAAATTCTACTGAAAATTAAGTTTTTCCTTCGTTTAGAAATTAAAAAAAGAAATTTTTCATTCTCATTTTGAAATTGTAACACAAAAAGTCGTATAATTTTCAGTTAAAAATTGCAATCGTGTTTCGTAGTAGAAAATTTTGTTCTAAATAAAAAAATATATTAAAATTTTTACTAAACTATTCAAAATATAAAATATAAAAAGTCACGTTTTTCAGTGGAAATGGTCATTCAATTTTTGAAGCAAAAATTTTTGTTGTTCGATGGAATTAAAACACTACTAAATTAAATTTTTTCATTTAAAAATTGAAGAACGAATATTTTTGTTTTCATTTTGAAATTGTATCACAAAAAGACGTTTCTCAGTGAAAAGTGTAATTCAATTTTTGAAGTAGATAAAAAATTTTGTTGTTCGATGAATTTATAACTAATAAATTAAATTTTCTCATTTAGAAATTGAGATTCGAAAATTTCCTCTTTCAAATTGCATTACATGTTTTCTCAGTCTGAAATTGTAATTCAATATTGAATTTTGAAATAGAAAATTTTGTTCTAAATTCAATTTTTCTAAAATATTTCTTTAGTGGGACAATTTTTTTTTCTTTCCTCTTTTCGTACGTGTTTCCAAGTGGAAACTCTTAACGGAATTGAGAATTTTTGTGCTATGGGATTTTTACTGAGACAACATAATTTTTCCTTTCAGAAATGAAAAGCACTCCGGGGTCATTTATAAGACGGAGAATCTTGCTTCTGCTTTTACTGCCTCTCTTAGCACCTCACCGTTTGACCCCTTTTAAACTTCTTCAGCCCCATTTCTTTCTCGTTGCTCACGTAAATGCTCTCGATAGTCTTTATAATTTTTTTCCTCTCTCTCTCTCTCTCTCTCTTTTTTTCTTTTTTTTTTTTTTTTGCCTCTCCGCACACAACTTTAATCGATTTCCACACTTTTCCCTCGGGGGGAAAAAGAGAGAAGAAAAATAAATAAAGTGACAATTTTTTTTTCAATTTGAGTTAAAATTCACTGTAACTTAGGAATTTTTTTTTTCAATCAAATTTTTTTCTTTTAATTTTTTACTGAGAAATTTAATAAAATTATGTAATGATAATCGAGATATTCTGTCCTCGTGGGAATTTAGAGCTCTTTTTGATTTCAAATTGTGTTTTATGTCTAAAGTTTGACAATTGATTTGAAAATAGAGTGATTTAGTGAAATTAATTTTCCTAGAATTTTTCCAATAACAGGATTTTCACAGGAAAAATAATTTTTAAGAATTTTCTTTCTCAAATTAAAAAAAATCCATAAGTAAAGTTACGTTGCAATATTCATTATTAAAAATTGCATTATCTATTTTTGTATTTAAATAATTGAATTCTTGTCATTGAAATATGATAAGAACTGATTTAGAAAATGATTTTGTTAAATTGTATTCAAATAAGTATTCAAATATTTAACAAAAATGAATGAGATTTGAAAAATTTTATTGAGAAATTCTGAGAAATGAGGTTTTTGGAAAATTATAATTAAATTTTTTTGAAAATATTTAAATTTCCGAAAATAATTTTTGAAAGATTGAAACAACTGGAAATTTTGACAAAATTCAAGAAAATAAATTTTAAATTTCATAATTTAAATTTTTAATCTGGATTGAAAAAAAAATTAAATTCTTGTGGAAAATTTTATGAACTTTTATGTAAATAATTGAATTATTTCAAAGAATTTTATTCAATTTTTTTTAAATAATTGAATTCCTTCGAAAAATTTTATTTTTTAAACAAATAATTGAATTTTTGAAAAGAATTTTATTATTTATAAAAATAATTGAATTCTTTCGAGAAATTTAATAAAATTTAAATTATATGGAAAATAATTGAATTCCTGCAAAGAATTTTTCAATTTAATTTCTGCGAAAATTTTTAATAAAATTTTTGAAAATAATTGAATTTTTTCATGAATTTTGTAAAAATGTTAACAAAACTGAAATTTTATTGAAATTTGTATTAAAAATAATTGAATTCTCGAAAATAATTTTAAAAATTTGAAAAAATAAGATATTTTCTCAAAGTTTATTAAAATAAATTTTACATTTCGAAGAATTTTATTTTCTCACTTTAAAAAATTATTTTTAAACATTATTGTATTTTTTGAAGAATTTTAACTGAAAATATGGAAAATAATTAAATTTTTGTGAACAATTTAATCAAATTTTATGTAAATAATTGAATTCTTTCAAAGAATTTTATTAAATTTTTTGAAAATAATTAAATTCTTTCGTAAATTTATTCAAATTTTTGTGAATAATTGAATTCTTTCGAGTAATTAAATTAAATTAAATTAA